GTTTTAGACAAAATGTACAGTTTAGACATATTGTACATGTGTACAAATATGCAAATGAGACATGCTGGATTGTACTATGTCTCAAATATTCATATTTTATGCTACTGTTACCAAATTTGAACTGGTAATAGTTGAGAATTAATATTTTAACCCAGTAAAATGTGTTTGATATCTCATTCCCTTCATGTCCTGTGATACTTTATTAATAAACAAATATAAATTTAGGGAGAAAAATATCTTGTTTTTTGTGTATTTTACATCAATATACTAAATACTAGTTACAGTTACAAAGAATATGACTGCTGAAGTTAAAAATTCAGATTATTAGCTTTAAAAAGAGACCAAGCTTGTGAATTTACTCTAAAGGGTTCAAAAACAGTACTTTATTTAATTTGTGTGTACTTTTTAAGGTGTTTTATGGTATTTTATGCCCGAAGGTTTGATCAATAATTTAATGTTTGGCTGTCCTCAGGTCCTGTGTGTGCAAAACAAACCCAAACCATCACCCCTCCGCCACCGTGCTGACAGCAGGTACTGTCTATCTAGTTTTCTTTAAAAATATTATAATTAGAAAATAACCTGTAGAATATGTAATTCATTGTGTCTGTGAAGCCAAAGCAGCTTCATACTGAGAAGTCAGCTTTTAAAGAGTCACCATCCTAAWGTAAAGATGAATCATGCAGCCATATGTGTGTGTGACAAGACTGAGGGGGAGGGGGAGGGGGTGTATCTCACAGTAAACTCACCCTTCTTCCTGTCCTCCAAGATGGATCTGGGAGAGCTTTGAAAGGTTCTTGGCGTACTCTTCTTCTATCTTTATCCTGAGAGGGAAGTAGAAAGTTTGATTACCACACAGCTTTTTATGCAACTTGGTTTCCATCTGCGTTTCCTCTGTTGTGCAACTCAATGATGTGCATAAATGAGCAGGAAGAGCAGGAAATGACTTGTTTTTAATGACAGTCGCATGGTTTTCATGGTAACAGAAAAGAAAAGAAAGAAACTGGAGCTGGCAGATGAATAAGCGGATACCTCTCTCGTATGAACTCGGCCATCTCTTTCTGAATCTGTTTACCCTTCAGCTGCTTCTGCACCAAAACCTCAAATCCTGAGATGAAGCCGTTACCCTGGGGATCTTTCTTGTCGGCCTGGAGACACAGCAAGCAAACGAGAAACACACTGAGCAAATGAACTGATCAAAACATTGAAACATGAAGTACTACGAGTGGAGAAAGGTAACAGCACAAAGGAAGCCTGAAGTCTGCAGAATAGACCGAAATCTAACATTTATGTTTCTAATAATGGTAGTGTGCAGGCACTGTCCTCATGTTGCTACTATCAACTTATCATAGTTAATTTTAGTTTCACACTTTTATGTGTATGTGTTGTTCAAGTTCCTGTGACATCTCTGCTTTGTACAAACCAATGTGACAAACACTAAGTAACTGTRGATGAACTTAAACATGGTCTGGTTGTCATGCAAACTTTAATAAAWCCATGTGTACTCAATGTTCTTGCAACACATCGAGTAATCCTGCAAACACATTTTTATTTTAAATGTGAGGGGGACACTTTGCCTTCACAAAATTATTATTATTATCTCTCTGGTGTGATAAAAGGGGATGGGTGAAAAACCCATGTGAGCGGGGCCCTCACATGTGGGCCTGTTGCTCTCTCTGAAAAGATACCAGTCTTTATTCAAACCTTCACATCCCTTCACAACAGACACCAGGTTGGAAACACTCATTCTGAGCTTCTCCAGATCTATTAAAGGTTCAGAGCCAGCCAGTCCTCTTCTCTAAAAAATACAAAAGTACTTTTTTTATTTGAAGGGGTACGTTTAAAAACAAACATTTACAAGGAACAAGCTTTCTCAATTTTAAAGCCACTGCCTTTTCTAAATATTCTAGATCAGGGGTTCTTAAACTTTCTGACCTCAGGGCCCAGTTTACTGAACATAAAGTGAAACGAGGCCCCGTCACACATTACCAATGTATGGATCAAAATGATAATTATTCTAAATTTTGTTTTAAATTTTATTGCATTTGTATCATAACTAAACTATCATAACACTAACATAACTAAATTAAATACACTTACAGTTTAAAAATAAAACTCCTGTCAAATAATCACAAGACATGATTATGACAAACATTTTTATATTGTAACCTGCCCATAACAATTATTTGAACAAATACAAAGGTCATTCAACAGACCGCTCAGGCTTATCAACACAAATATATACACTCACCGGCCACTTTATTAGGTACACCACGCTAGTAATGGGTTGGACCCCCTTTTGCC